TGTTGGTTGTGATAATCTTAAGTTTCATATGGAAACTCAGATGGCGAATAAAGACAAAGAAGTATGTTAATGTGGAAAAATTTCTAGAAAATCATGAATTTCTTGCGAAAAGGTACACTTATTTGCAAGTAAAGAGGATGATAAACTCATTGGAAGTCAAATCTGGGACTCGTCGAGTCAGCCTGACTCGCCGAGTCAGTGAAACAGAAGGTGCAAAAATCGATTTTTCAGCCAATAAACTATCAAATAAGCATCAATTCATCAACAAACAACCCTAGGCTCTGATACAACTGATGGGATTTGAGCAATACATCATGCCTATGGTGTACATGCAAACTCTAATAGCTTTGGATCTAGTTTGTCTAATGAACATGCAATTGAATCATCCAAAGCCATAACCCTAGATCTATCATAATATGAACTGAATTAAGGGTTTAGAAATTACCTTTGATTGTTATGTAGCAATAACAATCTGTTCCTTGGCTTCAGAAAGCTTAGTGCCTCAAGTGTTGCAACTCTAATGCAGTCACAAACACCATAAGTAATAAGGATGATGAAGAAAGAGAATGAGAACTCCAAAAACGTCTAGAAACCCTCTTCAAAAGATTAGCCACGTTTTTGGGTCTCAAGGGTTCTTTAAATAGGTAGGCAATTAGGGTTATCTAACAAGGAAACCCTATTTTGACTGCTTAAGCCCTAAGCAGCCCATGGACCCCTTCTGGAACATGCCGTGGATGAAAATCATATGGGCTTCCCATAGATTTCATCCAACCTATATTCCAAGGTGATCCATAGCCCAATTGCAATTATCTTATAATTACAATTCCAGTCCCCTAAGTTTAATTAATCTCTTTTAGCCACACAATTAATTCTTAATTAGTTCTTAAGTAATATTAATTAAACAGTATGATTTCTCCTTTAATATATTATTAAATCATAATTAAACCTTTCTCTCCTGAATTCATCTTACAAGTTGCTTTGATGAATGCAACCCAAAAGGACCATGCACCATCGGGTCAAGTACATACCAAAATAGTTATCGACTTAGACATTAATCCAACAGGATTTATGGTATTTTATATTTGTAAGATAGTTGGAATTGTTGATTTGTAATATTGGATTTTTAATTTTTTAGTTTCTAAAACATTGGGTTTTAAGCTTTTAAAGTTATTAAAAATAGTCTTTTTAATCTAAAACAAAGTAGTTTTTTAGCAAAAAAAATCGAATTTTAAGCTTATAAATCGGGGGAACTGGGGGAACGGGGGTGGAACCGGGGGCAATGGAGGTAACCGGGGGCTATGTAAACGGGGGATCCGGGGGCGGGGGCAACAACTGCTTTCGACGGCGGGGCGCAGGCAACTATTTCCATTCCAGTTTGGTCCCGTTGACATCCCTACCCAGAATTGAGTTCCAAATCCCGATTTTTGTAGGCATCATCCTTTTGACACTCATAGATTATTCTTAATGACCACACAAAAAATCCAAGAGGATCTATCGTATAATATAATTTCACCTGTGATTCATCAGATCTAGTGTTTCTATTGCAAAATTTGATGCACTAGCCAAACAAAATTCTTAGCATAGTCACTATATCTTCAACCGGGCATTCATCTATGATATTTTTTGGTCATGTGGTTACAGAAGATCTAACCAAAATGTTGACATTGTTGATGTGTAGGTCTTACTAATCCAAATAATATAGACCTAGCTAGAATCACAACCGGATGTGAATTTGAAGTACCAAAAATAACAGATGCATTACTATCTATACCTGAATGTGGATTTCCTTTTCAGTTTAAAAAGAAAAAACTTTCTTTTTATATGTATAATGAAGTAGTTCACTACAAGAAATATACTCTTTAGCGGCGACACTATTACCGGCGACAAGAGCTGAGGACCCACCTTTCCCAGGTGGTAGAGGTCCTGGCCAGCACGAGTAGGACGGTAAGTCTTATCATGAATTTTTATTTACTATTTGGCTTCTCAGACGTTTCTAATAATTTTTAATTACATTTGTAGTTGAGGAACGTGCCCGAAGGAAAGTTTGAGTAAAAGCAAAAAATATAAAGCTTGAAAAAGCAATCTTGCGTAACTAGGGGAAACCAATAGGCATGCAATATGATAGGGATATCACATTTAATCCCGTAGGAGAGGCGGGAGACATGTTTTCCCGAGAAGTTGGGAAAACAATGTGGCAGATGGTCCCTTTCGACAAATGGAGTTGGAAAAGAGTTTCCCCTGATATAAAGGACACTGTATTACAACATTTAGCGGTAATTATTTATTTAAATATATTTTATAGGTTTAACTATAATTGTTTTTTACTTGGTTAATTTTTTTTATTGTAGACAAACTTTGATCTCAATCAAATGTACCAGGATGCACAAGCTACTCTATTGACAGAGAGTTTTCAAGCAGCCTTGTTAAAAGGTTTTCGAGAGCGTAAAGCCTACACAAAAGAATATTTCAAGATGGTCGGAGGGTATGAAGATATCTCGAGAGCATTGGCAAATCCTCCAGATGGTATGCTTGTTGATAACTGGGAGAAGACAGTTGAGTATTTTCAAATTGACGAACACAAAATTGCTTCAGAAAGGAACAAAAAATCCGTGAAAAGCGAACAACTGTGAATCATGGGGGTTCGAGCTCGTATAGCAGTACTTGCTATAAGAAGGTACCGTACGATACATGTAATTATTTATTTAAAATATAATCTAATTTTTAAACTTAAACAGAACCTTAAGAGAGTGGAAACATTTCGCAAAGCTCATACCGATAAGAATGGTGTATTTGTTACTGTTGAATCGGAACAACAATATGTAAGTATTTAATTATAATTTTATCATATATTTAAATGTTTATTTATACTTAATTGTTACTCACTTTTGGGAGTTACAGAATCGGTTAGTTGAAGAGCTGCTAGAACAAACTCAAGGTGAAAGTGAGTTAATGCCAACTCAAGAAAGAGCTACGTTCGAGAAAGTATTAGGAGAGCGACATGGCTACATTAGAGGCATTGGCCGCAAACCTTCTGGTCTCCCGACGATTCCACAGCCTTCGCAACCATCACAACCATCACAGGTAAAATAGTAATCTACTTTAGCATCGTAAAATGCATGTTGATTTGGTAGTTTTGGTTTTGTGGTGGTTATTTGCTAAAAAGTTTGGTAATTTGGTTTTTGTCCCAAGTGCAAAATATAGCAATATACTTTGGTTTTCTATCTTACTTTAAAAATAACAATGTATTTTAATAGTTTTTGTTTATGTTTGACGATCTAACTTATAAGTTTATATATATTGTTATTAATTATGTAGTTGGGAAATCTTCGTGCAATGCTCGCCGACCCGGCATGTAGGGATGAGCTTTATTTGTTTTTTCAATCCCAAAATAATCAAGGAAACGATGGGAACGACGATGAGGGTATGTAAGAATGAGTTTTATTTGCATATGTTGTCTCGTTTTGCTACTTGGTAGATTGTAAATTTTTTGTTGTTTTTTTATTCGGATATTATGACTTTTGATATTTAATTGTATTTTGAATGTTTGTTTGTAATTTGCATTGACACTATTATGTTTGATATTTAATAGGATGTTTGTTTTGTAATTAGCGTCGATACTATTGGTTTTGATATTTAATCGAATATTGTTATTACCGACGACACTTTTACCTGCGATATTATCACCGGCAACGAAAATCATTATTTAAAAAAAATTGAAAAAAAATTACCGGCGACGCTTTTACCAGCGACAGAACTCATTACCGGCGACACTTTTGTCGGCGACGCTTTTACCGGCGACAACATTATTAGCGGCGACATACTAATAGCGGCGACTATTATCATTAGCGGCGACAAACTGATCAATAGCGACGAGGCAGTACCGGCGATTCAGTACCGGCGATTCATTACCGCTATTAGTATTACCGGCGACTTTTGGGACTTTTACCGGCGACTTTTATCGCCGGTAATGGCTTTTTTCCTTGTAGTGGTTGTTTTTCACTTTTTATTTAATAACCTACATTTTTTAGTCAATGTTAGTAAGAGACATCGTTTAGATATTCATAATACAAAATGACATTATTATTCTAAGTCTTTTTTTTTTCCCTCACACGTTCAAAGATAATACAAAATGACATTATTATTCAAAGTCGTCTTTTTTCTCTCATAGGTTCAAGGAATGCACTCATTTTTAGATTTTTATAGAGGAGCCATTACCATTGACCCATTAACATAGTCATCCACTAAAAATCAAAGATAATACAAAATGACATTATTATTCAAAGTCGTCTTTTTTCTCTCATAGGTTCAAGGAATGCACTCATTTTTAGATTTTTATAGAGGAGCAATTACCATTGACCCATTAACATAGTCATCCACTAAAAATTATTGACTGCGAAATAAAACACACTCTACGTCCTTTTGTCCATGTTCAATCTTTTCTTCGCATACCAACATCGGCTATTAAATGATTGAAAGTTTTTTCCGGTCTGAAGTTTTCGATTGATGAAGTTAAATTCTATTTTTTTTTCTTAATTTAAACTAATCTTTGTATGTAGTTTGAAACAATAGTATAATTGACACCATTTTGATTTTGGAACCAACTATTCACAATTTAACATATAATTAATTTCATAGGTATATTTTCTTTACAAATTAATAAAATGTTTATTAGAACTATCTGAAAAACAAAAAATTAATGTAATAAATGGATTGAAATTATATTCGATTCTAACTACATGATTAACATATGATACCATTGCTTTTTTGCTAACTACCAATTTTTAATTTCTCTATTAACCTTCAGTGTTTTTTTTCCAAAATTTCTATGAGAAATACCATTCGAAGTAAAATACACTCCTTGTGGAAAATATGACAATCACTCCCAAATTTTCCTTTTTGAATAACGAAAAATGAAAAATAAAAGAAATGGTAGCTCAAGTATAAATCATGACACACAAACCATCATTTTTCAAAACACAACACAGAAAAGTAATTAAATAATGTCTTCAAACTTGTCACTCTTCTCTCTTGCACTACTAATCACTACTCTCTTCCTCAAACCAAATATTACTTATGGTTCTTTGGAGGAAGCCAATGCTCTTCTCAAATGGAAAGCAAGCCTTGAAATCCCAAACAACTCCTTGCTCTTTTCATGGCTTCCCCTCCCTATGAATTCCAGTGCATCTCTTCCATGCAATTCTTGGTTTGGAGTAGTTTGCAATGCTGATTGGAGGATTCGCAGGCTGAACCTTAGTTCATCTGGCATAAAAGGTACACTCCATCAATTTTCATTCTCTTTGCTACACGATCTTACGCATTTTGATCTCGGTTCGAACAACTTCTTTGGCCCCATCCCACCAGAAATCGGACTCCTGTCCAAACTTGTCCATCTTGATTTTTCAGAGAACAAATTTTCTGGAGTAATCCCACATGAAATAGGAAACCTGCACCAACTAACCATTTTGTACCTATACTCAAACAATATATCTGGCTCGATTCCTTCATCGTTGGGTAATGTGAAGTCTCTCAGTGAACTTTCCATGAGTTACAATAAACTTAGTGGTTCTATTCCTTTATCTCTAGCAAACCTGAGTAACCTACAGCTTCTATACTTAGGTGTGAATAATTTTTCTGGTCCCATTCCTACAGAACTTGGGAATTTGAAGTCTCTCACTGATCTTGAGGTGAGCGACAATCAATTTAATGGTTCCATTCCTTCATCATTGGGTGATTTGACATCTTTGAATGTCCTTTATTTGTACCACAATCAACTCTCTGGTCCCATTCCTATTGAACTTGGGAATTTGAAGTCTCTCACCGATCTTGCTGTAAGCCACAATCAACTTATTGGTTCTATTCCTTCATCATTGGGTAATTTGACATCTTTGAATGTCCTTTATTTGCACCACAATCAACTCTCTGGTCTCATTCCTATCGAACTTGGGAATTTGAAGTCTCTCAGTACTCTTGGTCTGAGTGAGAACCAACTTAGTGGTTCTATTCCTTCTTCAATGGGTGATTTGACATCTTTGAATGTCCTTTATTTGCACCACAATCAACTCTCTGGTCCCATTCCTATTGAACTTGGGAATTTGAAGTCTCTCATTGATTTTCAGGTGAGCTACAATCAACTTAGTAGTTGCATTCCTTCGTCATTGGGTAATTTGACATCTTTGAAAGTCCTTTATTTGCACTACAATAAACTCTCTGGTCCCATTCCTATTGAACTTGGGAATTTGAATTCTCTCACAAATCTTGCTGTGAGTGAGAATCAACTTAGCGGTTCCATTCCTTCATCACTAGGAAACCTCAGCAACATACAGTGGCTGACTCTCCTAGATAATAAATTATCTGGTCTCATTCCCAGTGAACTTGGGAATTTGAAGTCTCTTACTCATCTTGGGGTGAGCAACAATCAACTTAGTGGTTCTATTCCTTCATCATTTGGCGATTTGACATCTTTAAATGGCCTTTATATGCATTACAATCAACTTGCTGGTCCCATTCCTAGTGAGCTTGGGAAGTTGAAGTCTCTCAATGAACTTAAGGTGAACAACAATCAAATTAGTGGTTCCATTCCTCCGGATCTTGGAAATTCAACTCAACTACGAAGACTTGATCTGTCTTCGAATCATTTGGTTGGTGAGATCCCAAAGGAGTTTGGGAAAATGAGAAGCATGTTGGATTTTTCATTGGCTGGTAACCAACTTTCAGGAGTAATACCTCTAGAGCTTGGATTTTGTGAACTCCTTGAAGTACTCGATCTATCCAAAAATAGATTAAATGGGTCGATTCCAACAAGTATTTGTCAATGGTCACACATCCACTACTTGAATCTTAGTAATAACAAGCTCAGTGAAAAAATTCCACTCGAGATTGGTAAATTAGTTCATCTTACGGAACTTGATTTATCTCAAAATTTGCTCACAGAAGAGATACCATCTGAAGTTCAAACTTTGCAAAATTTGCAGAAATTAGATCTTTCCCACAATATGCTATCTGGTTCTATTCCTAATGATTTTACAAATTTGCCTCGCGGAATTGATATTAACCTGTCTTACAATGAGCTCAAAGGTCCAGTTCCCCCAAGCTCCAACTTTGTGAATTCATCTATACAAGGCAATCCAGGTTTGTGTGGAAATGTTACGGGACTGAAACTTTGTGCTAGTCAAATTCTGAAGAAAAAAAAAACCAACCATTTCATCATAGGCTCATCCTTGTAATTATACTCCCCTTTATAGGAGTAGTTTTACTTGGTTTATTCATGTATGGCCTCGTTGCTTATCGACAACAAAAGAATAAACCTCCACAGAAACCACTGGAAGAAGAAAATGGTGCTTATTTCTCCATTACAAGTTTTGATGGAAGAGTAGTGTATGATGAAATCTTGAAGGAAACAGGAGATTTCAATGAAGCATATTGTATTGGGACCGGAGGATATGGTATTGTTTACAAAGCCGAGCTACAACCTAACAATGTGGTAGCTGTCAAGAAGCTTCACTCATCTTATGGGAATGTTGATCATAATGCATTTCTTAATGAGGTACGAGCATTAACGAACATAAGGCATCGAAACATAGTGAAACTCTATGGATATTGCTCACATGCCCGCCACTCATTTTTGATTTATGAATACCTTGAAAAGGGAAGCCTTGGATCAATCTTAAGAATTGATAACTTAGCAAAAGATTTGAGTTGGTTGAAAAGAGTTAGTATTGTGAAGGCTGTTGCTAATGGGTTGGCTTATATGCATCATGACTGCTCACCTCCTATAATTCATAGAGACATATCCATAGCCAACATCCTTCTTGATTCTGATTATGAGGCCCATATTTCTGATTTTGGCACGTCCAAGCTTTTAAAGCTTGACTCATCTAACTGGACTGAAATTGCAGGCACCTATGGCTATATCGCACCAGGTAACATAATTCTTAAAGTTTCATGATATATATATATATATATATATATATATATATGTGTGTGTGTGTGGGGGGGGGGTGGGTGTGTCTGTGTGTGTGTGTCGATGTTGGAATCTTGTGGGGTTGATATAGGGTATTTTACTATTATTATTATTATTATTTTATATTATGTTTCTTTGGATGTAGAACTTGCTTATACGATGGTGGGAAATGAGAAATGCGATGTGTATAGCTTTGGAGTTGTTGCACTAGAAGTGGTCATTGGAAAGCATCCTGGAGAACTGATAACATCTTTACCTATATTGTCTGCTGATTATCTGGTGCCAGCAAATGTGGGAGATAGTCGGATACCTCCTCCCTCCTCACAAGTTGAGAAACAAATTAAGTTGGTTTTGAGTCTCTCAAGAGCATGTTTGAGCTCCAACCCACATGAAAGGCCAACGATGCGTCAAGTATCAAATCTATTAATGAAGGATCTGCTTTGAATTGACATCTGTGGCCTGATCGATATAGTGTACTTTCAATGTTGTTTAAATCATGCAAAACAAGTTGATTTTCAGTAAAGCTAACCAAGTTGATTTTGTCTGACTTTTTGATTTCTTCCTGGTCGTTCTCTTCTCTCACTTGTTTCTCCATCTTCTTCCAACTCTTGTTCTTGTTTCACTTTCACATGTTGCAATCGCTTCTTCCGATAGTGTTTTTCTTTCACTCTTTATTTTGAACTGAATTACATATGGATATTATATGTTTCTTCAGTTTCAAAGTTGGTTCAATAAGGTAATGATTATTGTTCTTTTCCACAGGCTTGCTCTTTATAGATGTTGTAGAAACTAAATCAAATCCTAAAATGTAACAACACAACCAATAAACCATTAACAGAGTTGATAAGGAAAAAAAAAAAATTAAGTAAATTTTTTTGGTTTGAACAAGTTAATGAAACGAGAAATCAATGAAACTTGAAGCTGAAAGTTGAAACTTGAAAGCAATGTGAAAATTGAAATTCAAATCATCATCTATTCATCAAGTAATTGTTTGGACAATAATCAATAAGCAATTACAAGTTAAAGAATCATACAACCAAAATTAATATAGAAACATCAAACATATTGCTCAAAAGCATGAATCAAAATCCAGGTATCTCAATTTCCAAGCTGATTGTTGAAGACAGTCTAAAGGTGAGAAAAACAAACATATGTTCAAAGAAATTAGATCCTAATCTAAGTGATCCTAACAGATTAAATACTATAAAAAACCAACTAACAAGACAACCATATAAATTATAAAGACTTAATAAAATGAAGTAAGAAAGGCGAAACCAAAGGATACCCAACCAAATTTCACAAAACATAATCCCAAAAACAAAACCGGCAGTTCTTATACTTGTCTCAATCGACATTTATATATTATTATACATTATATACAATTGTTGTTGTTTTGGCTTAATTTGAGGTTTGATCCACGTAGATTTTAATTTAGCAATTTAAATTTTTGGTTCTTATAGTTTTCAATTTAGACGCTCGGGTGTGGGCAACGCGGCTACCGCGTTATCTGACGTGGCATACGCCCTTAACGGCGCCATGGCACGGAACACTGCCCAGGGTCGTGTTAAGGCGCGTTAAGCCATGAGATGTTACCACGATAACGAGCCATGACGTGTATAATTCGAACGTTTATTTTTTAGCCGTTAAAAACGGTAATAATACCGTTGCATACGGTATAATTAATAAAAAAAAATTTACTTCTTCAATTTACTTTATATATATCAACAAATATATATATATATATATATAATATATATATATATATATATATATATATATATATATATATATCATTTTACCTCTCTATCTCTATTTATCTATATCCATCTCTATTTCATTCAAAAAAAAAAATACCCTCTATGGATCAAAACCCGAATACCTCTCCTCGGAAGACAAACACATCCACTCCATTGGGTTTTGCGGGATACGAGGGATACATCAACCTTCTAAACTCCCAAAACTCACCACAAATTCCATATTCCGGCAATTTTTTCAATACCACCTCACCCCCAATACAATTTCCTACCTCGCCATTTATGCAACAAAGTGCAAACATTCAACAAAAACTTTTTACCACATTCAGTCCTATGCGCCAAACAGTCACACAACCCACACCCACACAAGAACCCGTTGTCGAGACGCAAGCTGGTGGTAGTCTGAGAGCATCGGGAAAAAAGGAAGACCAAAACAGAAAGAGAAAGAGGTCGTTGTCGGGACGGACGACACGGAAGCACCTCCAACATGGTGGGCACCGGAGGAAGAGCATGCGTTGGCGACGGCTTGGTGCGGTACTTCAAAACAACCAACTATGGGGAACGATATGAAGAAAGTTGCTTTTTGGGATGCCGTTATCGTCAAATTCCGCACAATTTTGAACAAGGATGACACGTATCGCAATAATGATATGCTTAGTGGCAAATGGACTCAAATTAGCCGGAAGTGCACCAAATTCAATTCCATATATAACAAACTTTCTTCGCAAAGTCAAAGTGGTGCCAATGATTTCAATGTGTTTAGAGCCGCGATGGGGCACGTATTTGAGTATGAAAAAGTATAGGAGTTAGTGAGGAAAGATCCAAAATGGATGAAAACACCATCATCGGAACAACAATCCAAAAGGTCTTGTGGTTCGGGTTCGGTTGACGTTTCCGACGGACACACGAACATCGACCTCAACGCGGACACCAATGAGATCCCGGACGAGTATGACGACATCGAGGAAATCTCTCCGCTACGACGACCTATGGGGCGTGACAAAACGAAATGCGCTCAACGACATGCGGAGAAGAATGAAAGTCGGCTTCGAGAGCACGAGGAAATGAAAAAAAAAAAAAAAAATCGACGCCCACACGGAAATCACAAATAAAAGATACGAATTGCAACGGGAGCATTTGGATTTCCTTCGTCAAGAAGCCTAAGAAGATTGCATATCGAAGCATTTGAGAATTCTTATGACAAATGAATAAAATTTACCACCAAGACGAGCTGAAGTGATATGGAGTATGAAGGCACAGATAGAGAAAAAAATACTTGGGCGAAGAATAGTTTGTCGGTTTTTTTTTTAATTATTATGACTATCGTGTGTTTTTTTCAATGTTTTTTTTTTTGGTATGTAATGTTTTTTTTTAAGTTTGTATGGTATTTTTAATTTTCTAGTTAATGAAATTATGTTTTATTAATTTATATGTTTTTTATAAATATATGATATATATTAAAAAAATAAAACGAATTAGAAATATATGAAGTGAATAAAAAAATAAAACAAATTAGAATAATAGAAATTAAAAACATCAAAAAAAAAATAGAAATAGTATGTGTTATCCCATGTTATTTGGTGTTGCCCATTTTCACCCTTGGTGTTATAATACCAAATTGTGACTAGGATGATGAGGTGGACAATTTGGGTATGATAACATGTAATAATATGTTACCCACACCTATTAGTCTTAAACAATTAGATGATTGACCCTTATAGTTTTTAATTACATAAGGAAATATATTAGTTACAGTTTTGGTCACTATAGTTTGTAATTTAGGAAATTAGAGCTTGAACATTAACAGATGTTTCTCTTTAGTTTTTAATTTAGGAAATCACACTTTTTGTCCAGTTTTCTTATTTTAGTTATTATTATATAACTGTTTATTAATTGTTTTAATAATTTAACAAATAGGGCATTTTTCCGTCTTTATTTTTTTTTAATTATTTTGCTTATGTGTATCTCAAATATATAAATTATGCAAGTAATTTTACATACCACTCGTTCTTGAACATTCAACAGGTGTTTCCTCTGTAACTTTTGTATGAATTTGATGTCTTCTTGATTTGGTCTTTTAAAGAAGAGCAAGATGTTAAAGATCATCACTAGCCCAATAAAACAAATATTATTTAGAAGACTTTAGCTTGTTCTAGAATGCTCTAGAAGATTCTAGAACATTATGGAAGACTATGGAAGACTCTGGAATATACCGGAAGAGTCTAGAATACTCTAGAATGACATGGAAGACCCTGGAAGGATATGGATCATTCTAGAAGACACTGGAGCAACCTAGACCTCTCCAGAACATGGTAGAATATTCTAGAAACATATGGAAGCATATAGAGTATGTTAGATAGTTCTAGAGTTATCTAGTATGTAGTAAGTGTATACTAGTATCTAGAACCTTCCTAAGAGGCCTATAAATAGGTATGGAGCTCATTTGCTCCAAACCATCCAAGAAAGCCTCAAAGAAAGCAAAGTGTGTAGTAGTCTCACAAAGTGTAAGTTCTCCTTAAGTGTCTTAATAAAAGTCTTGTTGTTTCCCATATAAAAGAGTCGTGTTCAACAATCTGGTATCAGAGCAAGGTTTCTTGATAGTGAGAATGAGTGATTCTCGTTGTATCGTGAGTAGTTTGTGACTCTGCAAGTTTAGTATCAAAACTAACTTGTTTGGTATTACCGAGGTACTGCCAACACGATGGGTGATCTCCAAGTCATCGGAGGAATCAAGAAACTCAACAACAACAACTACAAAACGTGGGAAACATGTATGAAGTCCTACTTACAAGGACAAGATCTATGGGAGGTCGTTGGTGGAAGCGAAACTACGCCACCAGAGGAAGACGTTAATGGTGCTTTACGCAAATGGAAAATCAAAGCAGGCAAAGCAATGTTTGCCTTGAAGACCACAATTGAAGAAGAGATGTAGTGTTCGATGAAGCATCTTCATGGTGGTCCTCAGAGAAGAAAGTACTACCAGACTCAGAAAATATTGAAGAAGTTTTAAAACAAAAGATGGGGGAGCAAACTGCACATATTTGGTCAAGTGTTGATACACCTGAAGATCCGAGCGACACTGATGTCATTGAGCAAGAAGTAACTCAAACAAGTGATGTCGGTGAAAGGGAGCCGCCGCCTCCACAACTTCGAAGGACGGAAAGAATCCGAAAGCCTAATCCCAAGTATGCTAATGCGGCCATTTTAGAAGATGGTGTTAAAGAGCCGGAGACATATGAAGAAGCAGTTAAGAATAAAGCTTGGCAGAAGGCAATGGAAGAAGAAGTTACAGCCTTAAAGCAGAATCAAACGTGGGAACTGGTACCAAGACCAAGAGATATAAAATCGATTTCCTGCAAGTGGGTTTATAAAATAAAGCGTCGCCCAGATGGATCAATTGAGAGATACAAGGCTCGTCTGGTGGCTCGAGGGTTCTCACAACAATATGGATTGGACTATGATGAAACATTTAGTCCAGTGGCGAAGATAACTACTGTACGGGTGTTGTTAGCTCTTGCAGCTAGTAAAGACTGGAAATTATGGCAGATGGATGTGAAGAATGCTTTCTTGCATGGAGAATTAGATCGGGAGATCTACATGAACCAACCAAAGGGATTTGAGGATGAAGTTAATCCCAATCATGTGTGCAAGTTAAGAAAAGCTCTTTACGGATTGAAGCAGGCACCAAGAGCCTGGTATGGTAAGATTGCTGAATTTCTTACCCGAAGTGATTATTTAGTTGCACATGCAGACTCAAGCCTATTCATCAAAGAAAAAGAAGGGAAGTTGGCAATTGTGTTGGTTTATGTGGATGACTTGATCATCACCGGGGATGACGAAAGAGAAATCCATCAAACAAGAGAAAATCTATCGGTACGATTCCAAATGAAAGAGCTGGGGGAGCTTAAACACTTCTTGGGGTTAGAAGTTGATCGTACAAAAGAAGGGTTGTTTCTCTGCCAACAAAAGTATACAAGAGATATACTTCAAAAGTTTGGCATGTTGGAGTGTAAGCCAATATCAACACCAATAGAGCCAAATGCCAAGATATGTGCTCATGAAGGAAAAGAGTTGGACGATGGAACGATGTATCGACAACTAGTAGGTAGTCTTATCTACCTAACTTTATCTCGGCCTGACATTGCTTATGCAGTTGGAGTTATGAGTCGATACATGCAAAGTCCGAAGAAACCTCATTTGGATGCTGCCCGACAGATCTTGAGATATGTCAAAGGTACGATTGACTATGGTCTCTTGTATAAAAGAGGAGAAGACTGCAAGTTGGTTGGATATTGTGATGCTGACTATGCAGGAGACCATGATACCCGAAGATCAACCACTGGGTATGTGTTCAAGCTTGGGTCGGGACCAATATCATGGTGTAGTAAAAGACAACCAACAGTATCATTGTCAACCACGGAAGCGGAGTACAAAGCAACGGCCGTAGTAGCTCAAGAAAGTACATGGTTGGTACTCCTAATGGAGGACTTACATCAAAAAGTTGACTATGCAGTACCACTTCACTGTGACAACCAATCTGCAATTCGGCTGGCAGAAAATCCAGTATTTCATGCTAGAACAAAGCATGTGGAAGTGCATTATCACTTTATCAGAGAGAAAGTCTTGATGGAAGAAATTGAGATGCGGCAGATCAAGACCGATAATCAAATAGCAGACTTGTTCACCAAAGGGCTGAGTACTGGAAAATGTGAAGGTTTTCGTTGTCAGCTTAACATGGTACGAAGAATGAGGGCTAGTGTTGAGGGGGAGTGTTAAAGATCATCACTAGCCCAATAAAACAAATATTATTTAGAAGACTTTAGCTTGTTCTAGAATGCTCTAGAAGATTCTAGAACATTATGGAAGACTATGGAAGACTCTGGAATATACCGGAAGAGTCTAGAATACTCTAGAACGACATGGAAGACCCTGGAAGGATATGGATCATTCTAGAAGATACTGGAGCAACCTAGACCTCTCCAGAACATGGTAGAATATTCTAGAAACATATGGAAGCATATAGAGTATGTTAGATAGTTCTAGAGTTATCTAGTATGTAGTAAGTGTATACTAGTATCTAGAACCTTCCTAAGAGGCCTATAAATAGGTATGGAGCTCATTTGCTCCAAACCATCCAAGAAAGCCTCAAAGAAAGCAAAGTGTGTAGTAGTCTCACAAAGTGTAAGTTCTCCTTAAGTGTCTTAATAAAAGTCTTGTTGTTTCCCATATAAAAGAGTCGTGTTCAACACAAGAAAGATAATTGGCTAATTGCTAAATGAAGTAAGGACCACGGAGAGTCAACTAGTCAATGAGTCAAGGAGTAAATCAATCAATTGATGGTTTTTCTTGATCCGTAAAGGAAAAATTCATCAAAATAAATTTCCAAGTCAACTGTTGGGTTTCCAACATGGTCAAATAGCTAATTATATTTATATTTTAATTCTGCAAAAACAAAATTAATGTGATAGCTTAAGTTACTTTGATAATTAAGTTTCTTCAAGTGGTTGTTTCCATCACCCGTCAAAATGTTTCCAAACACTCTCATACCATTTTCACCATTCCACAGTAAATTGAACGGATTTGTCATGGAGATAGCACTATATACTGAAATACAATTCCATATAATAAAATGTAAAGATCAACGAATTTGAATCTCTCGATGATCAAAAGTGTGATGCTCTTATTCTTTTCACAAGTTTAATAAATCCAAGTATCACCATCTTCAAGTTCCGATTACCCACCCAAACACAACTGTATATGCACTAGCTATAAAAGTGATTTAAATCATGAAATACATTTTAGAGTATTCAACTTTACCTATTGGTCTAAGACTTGTCCTAAGGTCAACTTCATGATCAAATACTTCTATCAGTGAAAAAGTACATACTCATCAATCATATATGCATACTATTATTATGTCTAAATTTATCTTCAAGAATGATGTGATATTGGAAATTTAAGAAAATGGTGTCTAAAGGTTAAAGATGTCTTATTCATGACTTTGGATTATGGGGAGTTGAGGCGTATCTGATGGGCATAAGATGGGGCCCACATGAAACTTTCCATGTGATGTTTTGGCGTTTGAGAGGGGTTATAAGGGTGTGTAGAAGAATCCATGACTCAAAAAGTCTTGATGTTCTTTATCAAGAAGGAGAAAATTAGAAAAGCAACAGAATTTCTATGCTTTTGGCGTACACGTCGGGGTAAATTGAGGTTTTTAAATGTGGAAGCTTGTTAAATACTAGTCACATATATAAGACCTCATTAGCCCAACTGTCCCTAACACTTCCTCTAGAGAACACATAGATCGAGGTAGAAGATATAATGCCCACTAAAATGACTCTCTTCTTCTTCTTTTCCTTTGTTCTTCTCTCTTGTCTACCTTTTCTTCACTCTGCTACAAACCACAACACTTCTACAAGTATCTGCCCAGAAAGTTTCAGTTGTCCAAATTTGGCCCCATTTAAGTACCCTTTCTATAATGCCACTGACGGGCAATGCGGGTTGATCCAGGTGAACTGTAATTTTCATGGTGGGAGAATTCAACTTGGTGAACACTCATATGAGATTCGTGGCAGGTTAGGGTTTGATTCTATTGTCTTGATCCATAACACAACATTTGAAAGACTTGTGAATGAAAAAGATTGTAAGGCGCTTATGGATAATTTCACTTCTCCAAATCCTCTTCTCTATTCCGTTTCAATCCAACCCTTCATCACTCTCTACAAATGCAAAAAAGATCGGAATGATTCTGCAGAAATGGAACGTTATTTTGACGAATCAAATTACAATAGATACAAAATATGCAACCATCACAATTTCTACTATAAGCATTCCATCAGCGACACAACAGTTCTAAGTGGTCTCCCACCTACATGTCAAGTAATACAGCTACCCGCAAATGTGCAATCGCCAGATCTTGGGCGTCAAGTACCTGACAACAGAAACATATTTTCTACTCTAAGTTCAGTGTTCTCTATTTCATTTAACTTGACAACTCCCTGCAATGAGTGTCACAAGGAAAAAGGCCACTGTCATGCTCCCAATGGACAGTTTCAGTGTTTAGACGCTAAAAAAGGTATTGGCGCCTTCTTTGTTCTTTTTTCCTTTTGTCCACCAGAATTGATATGTTTAAACATATTTTGTCAGTTAAATTGTTTTAATGTCATACAACATGTAAACTTATCTATTCTTGTTTGGTTGCATGCTGCAGAAAAACTACCCAGAAAATTGATACTGATCCTAGGTAAGATACCTCTTTGATCGAATTCATTATTACCAAATATATAAATCAACACATATACGTATAGGAGTTTGTAGCTTAAATGTTGCATTTTCTTCACGTAGTTCTCGCTGGATCCACCTTCATTCTTATGATCTTTCTCGTCATGTTCATAATCTGTCATACGTACAAGATCAACCTGTTTTCCTATTTCTCATCAAAGAAAAAAACACCAATCAGTGAAGATGCGAGTCACTTTGTCGTTGGCGTCTCTGTTTTCTCCTACACAGAGCTTGAAGATGCCACCAGAAATTTTGACCTTTCTCAGGAACTAGGGATTGGAGGTTTTGGAGCTGTTTACTATGGTAAACTCCAAGATGGGAGAGAAGTTGCAGTGAAGAGACTTTACGAGCACAACTACAAACGAGTCCAACATTTCATGAATGAGATTAAAATCCTCACCAGATTACGTCACCCCAACCTTGTGGTGCTCTATGGTTGCACCTCTCGACAAAGCCATGAGCTTCTCCTTGTGTATGAATACATCTCCAATGGCACACTTGCTGATCACCTCCATGGCGAATTAGCAAATCCAAGCTTGCTGACATGGCCAGTACGCATGAACATCGCCATTGAAACTGCCAGAGCATTAGTGTACCTTCATGCCTCTGAAATCATACATCGAGATGTGAAGACGAGTAATATTCTTCTTGATCACAATTTCAGTGCCAAGGTAGCAGATTTTGGGCTCTCAAGGCTCTTACCGAATGATGTCACTAACATTTCTACAGCTCCTCAAGGAACCCCAGGATACGTGGATCCCCAATATCACAATCGTTACCAGTTAACAGATAAGAGTGATGTTTACAGCTTTGGAGTGGTCTTGATTGAACTGATATCATCGATGGTGGCTGTTGATTTAAATAGGTCACAAGACGAGATTAGTTTGGCTAATCTGGCTTTAAACAGGATCCAAATAGGTGCCTTAGATCAACTTATCGACCCTGTACTTCTAGGATCCGATCCGGATGCTGAAATCATGAGAACGATCACATCAGTAGCAGAGTTGGCTTTCCGGTGTTTACAGTATTATTCAGAAATGAGGCCTACAATGAATGAGGTGTTGGATGTGTTGGAGGATATTCAATCCCTTGGGAGAATAGACGATGATGACAGCAAACCGCTACCTCCGTCTGAAACCAGTGATACAGCGGTTTTGTTGAAAGACTTCCCGCCTTCGCCGGTCTCCGTCGCCGGTGAATGGCTTAGCGATTGCACTGGGTCGACTACAATAAGCACCAGATAGATTGCCAATGAAGAATCGATCAGAACATATGTAAATAACATTACGATCCGTCAATCGTCATTAATGTATCACAGGGATCAGCAATTTTAACGATTGCACTGCCATTTCCAATTTTTCTCTGTCAAAAGTTTCCGGTCTATGTATTTATTAAGGGGTTTTTTGTTGGGATTGTGTATTTACTCTACATTACGAACCTTCATTCGTATAAATTGTCAAAATCATGAGTACATAAATACTAGTTTTGTCACAAGATATAAATTGTCATGTTATATAAATATAAATACTATTATAATAAACAAGAGGCTGCACTAGTCGGTAAAACCTTTGTCTGCTGCTGTTAAAATGGCCAACAAATTTTACCATCAAAGGGTAACTGCAATAATCTAAATGAATAGACAGGTCATGGAGTTCCAATGTAATACTTTTGTCATCAATCTTTAAACATCCAAGACCTTTGATCTACTAGCTTAGCAGGTTAATCTCACCCTTTCAAAGATGGATGGCAAAAGTATACTTTCTCTCAACCAGGGTTTATATAGTCTTGACATTCGTTAAAGTACTTCCTCTATCTCACTTTTGCATATATCAATGTCTTCTTGATTTGGTGTTTAAAAAAAAACACAAGAATGATAATTGATAAATGGAGCAAGGACCATGGAGACTCAATGAGTCAAGTCTTGATAGTTTGTCTTGAGTGATAAAGAAGAATTTAAGCAAGGATTTCAGTCAACATGTTTAGAAGTCCTGGTTTTCATAGAAATTCCATATGGTAGATTTGTTAATATTTTGATGCTGCAAATACACAAATCATGTGAAAGCTCATGTCACAAAGAAGCAGATTTAATTTAGCAGTTGATCCAAGGCTCATTGCTAAATCTATGTCTATACTTTTGGTAAGTAGATGAAAAAGTATATACTCATATCCAAATTCCTACATATACACACCGCTGTTATGTAGATACTAATTTTATATATCTAGAATGATGTGATTGGAAATTTTCTCTATTCATAATTTTTACTTATGGTGAATTGAGTAATAGATGGGCTTAAAATGAGAACCACATGAGTCTTTTGAAGTGAAGTTTTAACATTGGAAATGGGTTGAGATAAGGAGAAAAATTACAAAAATTGAAAGAATTTATAGTAGAAAGACTTAGTCTTGATGGTGTTAGTCAATAAGGAGAAAATTACAAAATTGACAGAATTTATATGCTTTTGGCACACGTTGGGGCTAGTTGAGTCTCTGAGTGAATAAAACATCATTTAGTTTTCCAAACTGTTCCAAAGACTTAAGAGAAGACATAGTCACATAGAGGTCGAAGATGTATATGTGTATGCACATTCATCATTCATGTATATAATTAATGGAGTCTCAAGAACACATATGAGCAATATGAAATGAATCTCCTCTTCTTTTCTGCACTTGTTCTTCTCTCCTACCTACCTTTCTTTCACTCTGCTACAGATCACAACACCATCTTTTGTTGTTTGGTTGATGTAGAAACACAGGATGCACACACAAAATCGATACCCTGGGCATCCTAGGTAACATACCAATTTGATCGAATATGTTATTACTAAATATATAAATGCATAGACACACATACATGTAGGAATTTATACCCTAAAACTTGTTGCATTATCTTGCTCTAGTTCTTGCTTGATTTACCTTCATTATCATGTGCTTTCTTGTCAACTTCATAATCCGGCATAGGTACAAGAGAAACTCTTTTTCATATTTCTTGTTAGAATCAGCTTCTAACTTATTACATTAAGTTAAATAGGTTTGCCTTGATTTGATGACGAAACTAGTGAAGGGAGAAAGTGAGATCACTTATATGTGAACAAAGATATATTACATAAAAAGAACAGAAACTATTTATACTTAGGCTAATCGCATAACCAGATCCTAAAGTATGCTATAATAACTCTAAATACCACCTACCTTCGAACTAATGCAATTATGCGACGTCCGATACTCTTTATATAAAATATACATCCTTATCTTATAATCTAGGCACACATTTGTAAATAATCAACTCAATTACTATTTGAAAGTGTACTGCAAATACAGACTTGGATGGATGTTCACAATTGGGAAATAACACTACATATTAATATTATATGTTCATTATCAGGGATACATAAATTAGTTGGATGCCTAAATTTAAGAGAAGAGTGTTGATTTTTCAACCACACTAGCAATGAGTTTATATGGTTAAAGAACTTCCTATTAGAGTTGGACATGAAATAGGAAGACTGTATTTATCATTGAGACAATCAAGGTTTAATCCATCTCGTAAAGAATATAGTGTTTCATAGAATGAGTAAACAAAGAATCCATCATGATACGTTTACCAAGATAGTGGCAATAGAGAAGTTGAAGTTATGCTCAACTTCAACCGGCCTTCTAGATGGTTGACCAGGGCCGACCCAAGGGTTGGGCGAGGTGGGCCACAACCCAGGGCAACATACCTCTCATTTGGGCCAAGAACGTGATCCATAAAAATAGTTCAGCAGCCGGTAAGGAAAGGGCGAAGCGCAAGGGTGCGATTTAAAGACTGGAAGTGAAACTAGCGATAGATGCAATTTTTGATCAGTTAAAAAAACCGCACGCCTTACTGATTATTGAAGAAGGCGGGGGTGACTGGTATTCAGGAGAACTACGAGACGACCTTTGAGATGCTTTTGATTTATATGGTCGTCTGATTCTTTCTTTCTGTATCCTGATTTTTTTTCTTAGTTTCTTTAATACAAAAGGCAACTGGCTTCATTGAACTCATGGGAACTCGGAATAAATTGTTTTCCAACCTACTATGAAGGATGTAAAAGGGATACCGGACGTAAACATCAAAACCGACCTCCCAAACTTTCCATAAACCTGAAAAGCTGTTGATGGAAGCTTTCTAATATAGTGATATGCTCATATATAGATAACTAGATTGGTTTGTAGAGATAAATCGGAAATCGCCTTAAATCTATGTTTTGAAACCTTTGGTAGTCTTTGATTGTTGAGGTAATTTTTTATTTGATATCCAATTGTTTATTTACGTATTTAATATTTTTTATGATATTTCTTAGATGTTATTGTGATTAGTTCTTGTTTATTAGTTTGTTAAGTTTATGATTTTTTCTATTTGATTTTTCATCCACAGTTCAATTTGTGAATTTGCATATTGGTTTTGACTCTTTTATGATCTTTATTATTTAATTGTTTACATGTTATTAATATTATAAATTCATATTGGTTTTGATTTTGATCATATAATTCTTGATTTGAATTGCATTATTATGCTTCATAAGTAATAAGTATTTGGCAAAGGAGTTAATAATGAAAATTAGTTTTCATTGTCTTGAGTTGGTACTACCTCGTACTTATATTGTATTGAATTGGTTTTGCATGCTATGTGTTTTTCAATACAAATTTTTGATTGATTTTAATTTTTTGGACATCATAATAATCATTAAAACTCTGTTTTGAATCGCTTGATTTATTGAAAATATAAGTCACCAAAAAGTCAAAATTTATAAGTTCATATACGAGTAATATTCTTCTTGAACACAATTTCAGTGCCAAGGTAATAGATTTTGGGCTCTCAAGGCTTTTACCCGATGATGTCACTGACCTTTTAACTCCTCAAGAAACCCTAAGATATGTGGCTCCCTAATATTACAATCGTTACCAGTTAACAGATAAGAGTGATGTTTACAACTTTAGCGTGGCCTTGATTGAACTTGTAACATCCCGATGTCCACGTACTTCTAAATTCATCCTTATAATTCTATTTCATGTCAATTGGTCAAGTGGTATCACTCTTGGGTATAATTAAGGATTAGACACGGCGTGTTGGAGGCACCAACACGACGTGTATGATATGAAAAGGCGTGAGTTTCATTTTGGGCAACACAATAAGTTCCTCTTGGGAGCGTGTTGATGACTGGAATGAAACCCTAATCTTTCGGGTTTTTCTCCCTATTTAAAGGAATATGGATGCGTGAGTTTCATTTTGGCACTCTTCTAGACCTTTGTAAGTGTCCAAGACCTGATTTTTATCATTTAAAGTTGTTAGATCTTGAGTTTTATCCCTTTTCGCTCCTTGTTCTTGAATGTTGCAATGGTTAGATCTCATAAAGTTTGCAACTTTACGAATCTCTAGGCCAAGGTGACCTAGTAGTGTCTTGGATCTAGTCTATAACCAAGTTTTGATGCCATGAATAGAGACTAGGTCATAAATCCTCATTTTGGCCTAATACGGATTCAATTAATGCGTTAGGCATGTATGTCTAAAAATCACCAACCTTTGGGATTCTTTAGGTGTTAGAATCACTTTTGGAAAGGGTAGACTTCAGATCTTAAGGATTAAGTGTATTGTGGTTAAGCCCTTGCATTATCAAGCTTATGATTTGGTTTTTTGGACATTTTGGTAGTCCCAGTGGATAAAGTTGGAAACTTTATCCTTCCTAATCATATTTTGGTATAGATCTAAGCTTTGGAGCTCTTGGAGTCGAAAAGGCAGCTTGATATATTAATTTGTTGGAACTCTAACGAGCACGACATGTTTGCAAGTCAACATAGCGTGTTGACTGAATTTTTCTCGACTGTTTGGATGCCCGCGGAGCATGGCATGGCCAAGGGGAACATGGCGTGTTCGGTCAACATGGACTACTGACCTTGATTGTTGAATTTGACCAAGTTGGACCTTGAGGGTATTTTGGGATCTTGATAGAATTAGCCACTTGGTGGAAACAGGTGTCGATTAGAGAACTAAGATTTCGGAGTCGGACCTCATCAGCTGTGTTTAGTCTGCAAGGTGAGTTATCCTCATTGTACTTACGGGTCATAGGCACCTAGGCTGACCCATTAGTTTGATAACCTGATATTCGTTGATATGTTGAGTATGGAATAGATATGCATGCTAGTTTTGATATGCTAGTCGGATAGATCTATTGGACTACTTGTGATACTGTTTGATTATATGTGTAGGTTATTATTTGTTATA